GTTGGATTGTTTAAGTAAACAACAGGCTAGCATGAGCTAGCATGTTTCACTTTTTGTATTAGTAGTATTGATCACGTATTTGCATACAAATTCACTTCTGTTGTGAGGTATAAAAAAGTATTCTGTTATGTTTGGTCACATTTTCAAAGAGTCGCAGCAGGGGGACCAAAGAGCCATATGTGGCCCCAGAGCCACAGGTTGCAGACCCCTGGGCTAAATGTTTTCTACTTATCTGTCCAAATCCTGACAGAGCTCCCATCATTTTGTAAGGCTGAGGTCAAGCAGTTAAAGTTTAAGCCCTCTTTATGAATCATTTACTCACAAATTCATCTAAAATCATACAAAGAAGAAATGATGCTTCACTGTAGAAAATAACATTTTACCATCTGTCCATTGTTTGTTTTGTGGTCTTCGCAAAGTTTGTAGTGTTTTTTATGTTGGTTAGAGAATGGTAAAACTCAAATAAGAGTTCAGCAGCTCTTCTATAACAATCATTGAGCTGCTTTTAAACTGTTTTAGTTAGCTACTCAGATTAATAGTGCTGCAAGCTGCATAAATAAATCCATGTAAAGTCTTCTAAAATCTATCTGATTGTTCACTCTGTGGATCAGCTAGTTACTTTCACCCCATCCTTTAGAAAATCACAAGAAGTCTTCATCTAATGAAAATTAATTTATATGTTTGTGTAGATTTCATGCGGGCAAAGGAGGTAAGTGTAACAGGATTACTTTTCAGTGTAGGCTGTTGTTTTTGTTCTTATTTAGATCCGCTAAATAAATGTTGAAACCCAAAACTAATGCTGCACGTTTCAACAACAAGCTTGGAGTTTTGTGAAGGAATCCCCTGAAAACCTTTATATTTTCATGTTCACAATTTTGCAGCATTGAAGCGTGTGGTTGTGTTGTGCAAGAAGGAGGGGAAAAAAAACAGCAAAGGTGAGGGTGAAATCTGTGTACAAACGCATCTGTAAAAGAGAAGTGATGAAGACTGGAAGGGGAACAAATGGATCTGATCACGTTCCAATCAGGTCAACGCGCAGTTGTGTGAAATGCCGAGTCAGAGCCAAGCTACTGACAGCTCCTTAATTCACTCCCACTCATGATCAGTTGTGGTGGTTAGTCACATGCATGCAAGGAATGAATGTCCATGTTTAGAAATTGATATCTAGATACCAAATGCTGTCATGAGAGCTTTATTTTATATTTAATTTTAGCTCGGATGAACTACATATGCACTCGTATTTTTCCATTTTCTGTAATTGCAGTACAAATGGTTCTCCTCCCCTCTTATGTGAAGGCACATCTGCAGGCTATACAGTCGCCTACATCTGCTTTCAACAGAGCAGATGTCACAGGGCAGAAAGCTAATGTGAGATAAAGAAAAAGGAAGCGGATTCGTGCATCTCTTATTGCAGATTACTTCTATGAAAGTGCATCGCTCAGCACAACAAAAACTAATGGAAGATCAAATTGAAATATGAAAAAAAAAAAACAAGGAACAAAGTCAGAAAATTAAAACCAAACAGCAGGAAATTAGTCAGTTGTAATTGTAATTACACACATCTTCCTACTGCTGATTTATTTGCTTTTAAAAAGAGTGTCTGATAAAAACAATTGACAGCTGGTTTTGTGTCGTAATAAAATATAAATGGACTGCACTTATATAGAGCCTTTCTATCCATCCAGGACACTCAAAGCACTTCACACTACACTGTAAAAAATGAAATGTTGGATTTACTTAACCATGTTATGTGACCTGGTTCCACTTAACTGAGTTGAGTAAATTCAAAGCAATATACCAGTTTTTTAACCAAAGAACATGAGTATGTTGCTTTGACTTTACTCAACTCAGTTAAGTGGAACCAGGTCACATAACATGGTTAAGTAAATCCAACATTTCATTTTTAGAGTGTACAGATATTCAACCATTCACACACACATTCACACACACTGATGATGGCAAACTACATTGTAGCCACAGCTGCCCTTGGGCACACTGACAGAGGCGAGGCTGCCATACACAGGCGCCACTGGACCCTCTGACCACCATCAGTGGGCAAGGCGGGTAAGGTGTCTTGCCCAGGGACACAACGACTGAGTCGACTGGACGGGGGATCGAACCAGTGACTGGTTCCAGGACGACTCCCCTAGCCACTCTACCACAGCTGCCCCATATAATTAAAAAATGAGTTAAATGGGGAATTATGTCAGACATGAATTATATTAAATATGAAGTTTTTGATGGCAGGTTAGAAAATATATTTTAATATGAGGCTTACAGAGAGAGATAAAATCCTCTGTACCTTTTAGTTAAAAACAATCAAAGGTCACCGAAATAATTTTTAATACATTTTGTAGAGATTCTGTATCTTTTACTTTAACACAGTACTTTAACAGCTCTTACGTGGCAGGGTGGAGTCGGATTCACTCACCTGTTGCTGTTGAGGCATGCAGGTGTGAATCATGAGGACAACTGAGTTTCTTGAACATTTAAGTGTGTTCTTCTAAGTACCTTTGTGTTTTATCAGCAATCCCGTCAGTCCCTCTCTGGATGTCTCTGTCCTGGGTTGTCCACTGAGATACACAAACCTACCTCTGCTCTTCATCTCCATGGGTCTGGTACTGAGTCCTCCACACTGTCACACTAATGCATTACAACTCACATCTCCTTTCATGGTCTGTGGACATCTGTTGGGTTCACCATCCTCCTCTCAAAACCTGGAACCATGGTTAAAGAAGGGTTTTCTCAACTCTTCCCAACAGATCGCTGGCTCCCTGACTTACCTGTTCACTTTGTAAATAAATAAACTTCCTGACTGTTTACCTTGTCTGCTTCACTGCATATTTATTTATTCTGGGGTGTTTATAGTTCAGATTGTCACATTTCACTCCAGAAAGCCTTGATAGTCTTGAGACTTCATTGCACCTGCACAGATTCAATACATCCTTTTAATGTTTTACTGCAGGTATCATGTTTTCTTTGTAAACATAGAGCTCCAGTTTGACTTATATGTCAAACACATTTCCCTAGAAACTTTGTCTTGTCACTATACAGTTTTGTAAAAATGTGTTGTCCTCTTTGGGTTCTTTAAATACAGGTGCTGGTCATAAAATTAGAATATCATGAAAAAGTAGATATATTTCAGTAATTCCATTTAAAAAGTGAAACTTGTATATTATATTCATACATTACATACAAACTCATATATTTCAAATGTTTATTTCGTTTAATTTTGATGATTACAAATGACAACAAATGAAAATCTCAAATTCAGCATATCAGAAAATTAGAATCTTGTGAAAAGGTTCAAAATTGATGGCACCAGGTACCACACTCTAATCAGATAATTAACGCAAACCACCTGCAAAGGCCTTTAAATGGTCTTTCAGTCTAGTTCTATAGGCTACACAATCATGGGGAAGACTGCTGACTTGACAGTTGTCCAAAAGACGACCATCGACACCTTGCACAAGGAGGGCAAGACACAAAAGGTCATCGCTAAAGAGGCTGGCTGTTCACAGAGCTCTGTGTCCAAGCACATTAATAGAGAGGCGAAGGGAAGGAAAAGATGTACAAGCAAGAGAGATAACCGCACCCTGGAGAGGATTGTGAAACAAAACCCATTCAAAAATGTGGGGGAGATTCACAAAGAGTGGACTGCAGCTGGAGTGAGTGCTTCAAGAACCACCACACACAGACGTATGAAAGACATGGGTTTCTGCTGTCGCATTCCTTGTGTCAAGCCACTCTTGAACCACAGACAGCGTCAGAAGCGTCTTGCCTGGGCTACAGAGAAACAGGACTGGACTGCTGGTGAGTGGTCCAAAGTCATGCTCTCTGATGAAAGTAAATTTTGCATTTCCTTTGGAAATCAAGGTCCCAGAGTCTGGAGGAAAAGAAGAGAGGCACTTCATCCACGTTGCTTGAAGTCCAGTGTAAAGTTTCCACAGTCAGTGATGGTTTGGGGTGCCATGTCATCTGCTGGTGTTGGTCCATTGTGTTTTCTGAGGTCCAGGGTCAACGCAGCCACATACCAGGAAGTTTTAGAGCACTTCATGCTTCCTGCTGCTGACCAACTTTTTGGAGATGCAGATTTTATTTTCCAACAGGACTTGGCACCTGCACACAGTGCCAAAGCTACCAGTACCTGGTTGAAGGACCATGGTATCCCTGTTCTTAATTGGCCAGCAAACTCTCCTGACCTTAACACCATAGAAAATCTATGGGGTATTGTGAAGAAGATGCAATACACCAGACCCAACAATTCAGAAGAGCTAAAAGCCACTATTAGAGCAACCTGGGCTTTCATAACACCTGAGCAGTGCCACAGACTGATCGACTCCATGCCACGCCGCATTGCTGCAGTAATACAGGCCAAAGGAGCCCCAACTAAATACTGAGTGCTGTACATGCTCATACTTTTCATGTTCATACTTTTCAGTTGGCAACATTTCTATAAATCCTTTGTTTTTATTGGTCTTCAGTAATATTCTAATTTTCTGATATGATGAATTTGAGATTTTCATTTGTTGTCATTTGTAATCATCAAAATTAAACGAAATAAACATTTGAAATATATGAGTTTATATGTAATGTATGAATATAATATACAAGTTTCACTTTTTAAATGGAATTACTGAAATAAATCTACTTTTTCATGATATTCTAATTTTATGACCAGCACCTGTATATGTTTTGCTCAAACAGACCAATGGTGCGAACTTATGACACTGATGCAACTTGACCTTGGATTTCATCTCTTTTGAAGTTGTTCTGAGCTCTTTGGTAGCCATTTATATTATCAGTCTTTTCAACATGGTCACATTGTGGACCTTTAAACGTTTCTATGAGTAGCTGTAAAATCAGGGTAACATTGCCTTTACCAAAAACATCAGTTATTTTAATATAAGATCTGCTTTTATGGGTACAGTTTTAAGTTAAAAGTTAGATTTTTTTTTTACTTTTTTTTTTTTTTTTTACAATGAGACGTTCATTAGTTCAATGTTTGAACGATGTTAACTAAACCAGCGCAGGCACGTGTTTGAACGGGAGTTAAAAATACCCCACAACATTTGAACGCAACATCCTCCTTTTTCTTTGTCTCCCTCCGTCGAACACCTGAGACAGGCAGCAGAAGAGTTGGAGCACGTGCAGCGCATCGCGCGCTCAGTTATTTCTCGAGTCCCACAGCAGTCGGTTCTGACTTCACGCGCGCCACGCTGAGCGGCTGCACGAGGAGGAAGAAAATAATAACAACACAAAGGAGGACATAAATAAAGAGGGAGAAGCGCTGCTTTTTTTTTCAGCAAGTCTTCATCGCGAAGGTAAATTTTGTCGTCTTTTTTTATTTAAGCGTTTAATTTAAAGATAGGTGACTTGTCGACTTCCTTTTGCTTGTTTGTTTTTGTTCAGAGCTGCGAGCGTTTTGTTTGTTTTGCGCATCCTGTGAGTCTCGTAATGCCAAATATACTCTTGAAAAAAATAACTTCTGGCGCTAATCCTCCTGGAAGCTGTAAAAACGTGCATGACTTGAACAAAAACTGATCTTCAGGTCAGAAAAGATTGTTTATCAGCAAAACCACTTGAGATGAAATTGCCTTGTCTGTGTTTTGGATTGAACGTTATTTTTGTTAAGTCTAAATATTTTTAATTTAAAATAATTAAATTAGGATTTTTTTCTGCGACAATAGACAGCTCACATTTGTTCTTCAAAGTTTCAGCAGAATGTGAGACATGAAAAGTATGAAAGTAACATTTCTAATACAGAGCTTCTGCTTGTATAAAGTCACCTGTATGAATCCTTTGAAACTTTTCATTTCATATGGACATACAGCGTGTGTTTAGTCTGGAACTTATAAGCAGGAAACTGCTGACAGCTGCTGAAGTCTCAGCTCAGTTCTTCTTTTACATTCATTCTTCATATTTTGGAGATACTTTTCGCCTGCGTTGTCCTTAAAAACATCCTTGAGTTTTGGTAATCTGCAGTTATTCTGAACTCTCACTGTTTTTGTGTTGCTTTGATTAGGACCGATGCTGACTTTAAATTGCTTCTTTAATTTCGATCGGCGTCATATCCTGGATTTCAGTGACAACCTTCCCATCATGGCTGTACAGGACAATAACTGCCACTTTCATGCGTCTTGTATAGTTTAAATTATTCAGCTGCAAACCTCTTCACCTCCGTCTTTGTGTCTTGTTAACTTTGCAACATGGATGTTCACGGTTGTCACTTCTGCCAGCAGAAAAAAACAGAGCTGTAGGGCGGCTTAAATAAAACGTGTGATACAAATGTCACACTGAGAAACAGGGACATTTTCAAAGGTTCTTTAGCAAATAAGACAGATGATTTATTTATTTATTTATTTATTTATTTATTTATTTATTTATTTATTTATTTAGACCAAATAAATCTATGATGTATATAGCTGGTAAAATATAAGAGTGTGTAAAGTAGAAACACCATTTTGATTAGCACAAAGCCATCACATCAAAACGAGGATTAAGTCTAAATGTGGTAAATGGAGAAATGGGCAAACATAGTGTTTTGATTAAAACACTTACAAAAAATTGAATTTCTTTCAAATATAACAAATAAATGCCTTATCAGTGTTTCATTTGAATGAACTGTGTGAAATATAATCATAAAAAATTTTTGAAGCACTTTCTTGAGCAGTTGAAACAAAAAACCTGATTTTGAGGAAAAATCCCACTAAATTTTGAGATTTTCCCTGTGAGCTAGAAAAGTTTTTGTTTCTTTCCACCTGAGAAATGTCAATATTTAAATACTATTTGGATTTCCTTTTCATAAGGAAATTAAAAAGTCCTCATTAAAATGGCATAAAATCAGGATTCTGACCAAATATTAATGTATCATCGTAACCAACAAGACAAATTAGGGCATATCTCTGATTCTGTTTATGGTATCAGAATGATCCAGGTGTCAAAATGTAGCTTTAAAGCCAGAAATCTGAAAATGTGATGAGGTCATTTTGACCAAATTTGACTTAATCCTCATTTCGATATGATGGGTCAGAAATGTGATTGGATTGATTTTTAGTTGTAACATCTTCAACAGTTTCTCTCAGCATTCACATGATGGACAATAACAGTAAACTATTATGTCTCTTAATGCATCACGTTACTGTTTTGGCTGCCCATAAATGACTAGCTCTAATGAGCATTTTATTTAAAATTATGTTTGTAAAAAATACACAATAGTCGCTTGTGATCACAGCTGGAGTGCTGTCGGTGCCTATAGCGTTGTTTAATCCCTGAATAGGATGTTTTTGTGCGTTATTTCATTTTTCCTGTTCTTCACGGCCACTCCAGCGTATAAAAATTCCCCGCCAAATGGAAAGCAGTGTTTCAGGACTCTCATCAGTCCATCCATGCTTGACTAATTCAGAGGCTTCTCTGCATTGTGTTGCTTGGCGACAGGGCCGTCCGTGTCAAGCTCCTCTAAACAGCAGAGACCTGTTCTCCAAACAAACTCTGCTAAATGGATGTCAGTGGTTTTGCTATAGGTCAGTTTTCTTGCCACACTTAGTGGAGCGTAAACCCTTGAAAAAACCGCGACAGTGTCTTTTCTTAAAATGTGACACAGTATTACATTTTTTAAAAAAGCTGCTTAACGTCTGACGCTAGATTTATCTCTGTAAAATAAAGAGGTTAAACAAATGACTGCTGTGTTGCTGCTGTGAAAGGTTTTGTTTCTCCTTGTTTGTGTTTTCAAGAGAAATTAAAGTTGACAAGAAACCTCAGAAGACTTGTGTCATGACTCTCCCTGTTGGAGAAAGTGCCCAAGGAATGACAGCTCAAAGTCAAAATTGTTTGCTAAAGACATGAAGGAACTGCCTGCAGAGCAGCTCGTGAAGCGTGAGCCAGTCGTTGCATCAGGGTAAAATAATGTGACATTACAGAAATGAGATGAGCTCTATTTCTCTTTCATGCAGACTGACCACAGGTCTTGGTATGAGAGAAAAGAGACCCTTTTCCTCCAACAGTTTCCATGCAAACATGCGTGACAAGCCCAGGATTGTACACGAGTTATGTGATTTTAATGCAAAGAAGATAGGAGAGCAGGACAGAAAAATCTCCACTTCAGTTTTTCTATCTGGTACCTGCACCGTCACCATCTCTCTGCTTTCTGACTGCTGTTCGCTCGGCAGCATCTGGCTTGAACCACGGTATTTATTCTCTTACTGGGTGGGCGTGCCCTCAAGGGTTTGCTGTTGCATCACCGAAATTAGATGACTGAGAAATTATTTTAGCTTGTTAGCCTTCATCTGGAGGCCAACTCAAAGTTAATGAGCCTCTTGGACAAAGAATAAAATCCCTTGCATTATAACTTTAACAGTTTGAAACGTTTTACATGTTAGAAAGATATTACATGTTAATAGTTGCTGCACAGTTCTGATTGGTAAAACCTTTCGATATGAAAAATGTATAGATGCTGTGAGTTTAAAACACTGTTTTATTTTAAAAAAAGTCTAGAAAACAAGTACCTGCCAATAGAATCAAAACAATAAGGCACTCATTGATTTCTACTGAAATAATGTGATTTGAACTGATGAAAAGCTGAAGTGTTTTTGCTTCATACGCAATATAAAAAGCCTTCAATTAAAAAGAAGCATCTACTAATTTGAAGATTTAGTTCAAGAGATTTGATTTTTCAGCAAAAACAATCAGTCCAGATCTGTTAGTCTGTCAAGTCTTTCTGCCACATTACTGTTAGATATTTTGGTATTTTTTATATAGTCTTGATGGGAGTGAGTTCAGTTATACTGGAACTGCCAGTGCTGAATGTATATTAACCTCTTGTTCCTGAACCATGAATAATGGAGGCTGGCAGCTGTCAGTGCTTAGCAAAGGAGGCAGACTAGTGGAGGAGCAGAGTAAGACACTGTGTGTGTCATCAGCCTCAACCTGAACAGCTTTTATTGATGGGAAAGTTAACACAAAAATAAACACTTTACACCAGAAACCATGGTTCTGATACACTGATATTTAAACCCTTTTCTTGTGGTCACCAGTTGTTTGAGTTTTCTGTGTTTGCTCATTAGAGTGATGTAGATGTTACACAGATTAGAAGCTGTGATGCTAAAGGAAAACTCAATCCAGGATTGTGATACAAACTAAAAAGTATAATCTTCTGATTCTTATTAAAGTCTAAAACTCAAACCTGCCTCAGCTGAGGCCACTGACATTAAACAAACTGTCTTGAACACTCAGATTTTTTTAAGAGACAGGTAACCTTTTGAAGAAGTGAAAACTGATGTTGCTTCAGGAGCAATAAAATCAAATATAAATAGGAAGTGTACACCAAAGACAGGAGCAGTGTTGATTTCTAAGATTGCAGGCATGAATTAAGTGGGTCGTTATTCTCTTGGACCATCAAACTCTCTAACAGACTATGCAGCGTGCGTGATTCTTTAACATTTCACTGACAATGAAGAAAACACAAAGATGGCAGTCTTAAAAACCAGAAGACTATCCATTGACTCGTTTTATAAACTGCCACAGGATGAGGAGAAAAAACGACAGGAACAGGCTTTCTGTTAATGGATCCAGGCTGAGTGGATGTAGAACAGGACAGTGTGTGCTGTGCAGTGAAAAAACTCTTGATACCAAAGTATACGGATCGATCCAACAATAATTATACTACAACCTCAAGTCATGCAGTTTAAATTTCATATCTCTGCACCTCTTTAGCTACAGAGCAGAAATCCAGTTGCTTCAACTCTTTTATTTTAATTTTCAATGTCTTGGATACATGAGAAACCACATCAACATATGATATTTTAGTGTCAAATTGTATCAATACTAAAGTTACTAGATCGAAACTTCAGGTTTTTTTTTTTACTTCCTGCACATTGCTCTCGTTCCACAAATACACGGCGCACTGGAGCAGCCAGGAGCAGGTTGAAAAGGAAACACTGAGGGAAAACAAGCATAACTATTTAATCAGCTCTGACTGCACAACAACAGTGTGACGTCACATCTGCATGTGGGTCGCATCAGTGTCCTGGAGAGTTCACACTGTAGTCTGATGGAGGTCACATTTGAAATATACTGTGAACATCCACATGAAAACAAATTGGATTTGAGCAAAAAGAATTGAATTAAGCATTAAGACCTGCAGTGTGAACGTAGCCTATGATGGACGTGCAAAGTGTCCTGGTGGCTCTCACACAGTGACACCAGCTAACCATGATCAGCAAAGACGAGGCAATAAAGTGAATAGATGGTTGTTTTGTGTCTTTTCAAGATGGCTCTTGTGGAACGGGCTCCCAAAGAAGAGCGGGCTCTTTCCTCTCCCAAATGA